TCGGCCTGTGTTGCTCAGTGGCTGAGCATTGACCTATGAACCAGGAGGTCAGGGTTCGATTCCAATCAAGGGCACAGGCCCAGGTCGCCAGCTCCATCCCCAGTGTGAAGCGTGTGGGAGGCAGCCGATCCATGGTTCTCTCTCATCATGGATGTTTCTTTCTCTCTTCTCCTTTCCTCTCTGAAATCCATAAAAATATATTTTAAAAATAAGTAAACATGGCCAAATCATACACCTTTGTGTTTTTTTATTTTTTAATATGTTTTTATTGATTTTAGAGAGGGAGAGGAAGAAAGGAGAGAAACATCCATGATGAGAGAGACTCATCAGTTGGCTGCCTCCTGCACGCCCCCTACCGGGGATGGAGCCTGCAACCCGGACCTGTGTCCTTGATCAGAATCGAACCCTGACCTCCTGGTTCATGGTTTGATGCTAAACCAACTGAGCCACACTGGCCGAACCGAATTGTACACTTTTAAATGATGAATAGCTCATTTCATGTTATATAAATTGTACTTCAAAAAAAACAATGTTCGGAGGTGTCTGAATCTGGTCCCTAGGCCTGGCCGGCGATCAGGGCCAATCTGTGGGGCAACCAGCAGACACCCACCTTGGCTGGCCTGGCACTGCCTGCTTGCTGCCCCCACCTCCCTCCCCACTGCCACTGCCACTGGTTGCCTCTCTCTGAGGGGCAACCAGCAGGGTGATTGTGGTCCCTTCACCTGGCACCTGCCTTGGCTGGTCTGGGACTTGCAGCCTAGGGGCAGCTCCTGCGTTGAACATCTGCCCCCTGGTGGTCAGTGCACATCACAGCAATTGGTTGTTCCACCAGTTGTTCCGACATTCAGACGATTTACATATTAGGCTTTTATTATATAGGATTCAACAGTTCTAATCTGGGTAGCTTCACCCATTCAACAAATAAATCCTATTAAGTACCACCATGTCTTACAATCTAGAAACCACAAGGTGAATAAAACACAAACCCTGCCCTCTTTAAAGATCCACAGCCTAGCCTAAAAGTGTGGCTCAGTGGTTGAGTGACAACCTGTGAACCAGGAGGTTAGGGTTCGATTCCCACTCAGAGTACATGCCCGGGTTATGGGCTCCATCCCCAGTGTAGGGTGTGCAGGAGACAGCCAATCCATAATTTTCTCTTATCATTGATGTTTCTCTCTCTCCCTCTCCCTTCCTCTCTGAAATCAATAAAAATATATATATAATTTTTAAAAAGATTCGGTTTAGAGCATGTTGCTGATGAAGGACCTTGTAAAGTGATTTAAGGAATTGGGATACTGCCCTAGCCAGTGTGGCTCAGTGCATAGAGCATCCGCCTGCAGACTGAAGGAGTCCGAGGTTCGATTCCGGTCAAGAGCATATGCCTGGGTTGCAGGTTCGATCCTCAGTGGGGGGCATGCAGGAGGCGGCCGATCAGTGATTCTCTCTCATCACTAATGTTTCTCTCTCTCCCTCTCCCTCCCTCTCTCTGAAATCAATAACAATATTTTTAAAGGAATCAGGATACTATGCTGTGAGAAGGAGGATGAACCGAAAAGAGATTGACATGGGGGAGCGGGGAGAGTCCTAGCCCCTCCAGGAGACCCTCGTGGCCAGAGAATTTCTGTTTCCGGTTGCCCCAGCTTCTCCCTCCTCCCCCGGGGGCTGTGAGCCAGGGATCATTCCTCTGTCAGGCCCACTGAGTCACGTCTCTACTTGGGGCAGCGCTTCCACCGCCTGCTTCTCAGGAACACGGCGTCCCTCCTCCTGTGACTTGCAGCCCCAGGAACATTATCTGTGCCATGGAGCGTGCGGAATGCGGTGCCAAGGATGAGGGGACGGCCATCAATTCTGAGTGCGGCTATTGTTAGCGCATGATGTCACCACTCCGCTCGCCAGCTTGTCACAGACGTCTGCGTAGCCACCTCCTGCCGCAGGGACCGTCCTGTCCCGCAGCACCGGGCTGGGCGCATTGCCTGCTCTCTGTGCGGGCGGCAGAGCTATGGGAGCACATTGAAAAGAAGACTGGTCCTGGCCGGTGTGGCTCAGTGGATAGAGCATCAGCCTGTGGCCTGAAAGGTCCCGGGTTCAATTCCGGCCAAGGGCATAAGCCTGGGTTGTAGACTCCAGTTGGGGGCGTGCAGGAGGCAACCAATCAATGACTCTCTCTCATCATTGATGTTCTCTCTCTCTCTCTTTCTCCCTTCCTCTCTGAAATCAATGCAAATATATTTTAAAAATATATATTGGGCCCAGTTTGTGTGGCTCAGTGGTTGGGCATCAACCTATGAGCCAGGAGGTCATGGTTCAATTCCAGATCAGGACACAGGCCCGGGTTGTGGGCTCCATCCCCAGTGGGGGGCATGCAGGATGCAGTCGATCAGTGACTCTCATCATTGATATTTCTATCTCTCCCTCTCCTTTCCTCTCTGAAGTCAATAAAATTATATTTTTAAAAATCAGTCCTTTCCCTAATCAATATGGCTCAGTGGATAGAGCGTTGGCCTGTGGACTCGAGTCCCGGGTTCAATTCTGGTCAAGGGCATGTACCTTGGCTGCGGGCACATCTCCAGTAGGGGGTGTGCAGGAGGCAGCTGATGGATGTTTCTCTCTCATCAATGTTTCTAACTCTATCCCTCTCCCTTCCTCTCTGTAAAAAAATCAATAAAATATGTAGTTTTTAAAAAATCAGTCCTTGACTTTAAAAAAAAGAAAAGAGAAGAATATTGGCTCTTGGAAGTAAACACTCTGTCCCAGTGAGACAATCAAACTCCCCATGGTTTCTAGGCGGGGGGCGGCCAGAAGCAAGCTGCCTGTAATTATCTAAATGTCAGCCCTGTCCTCTGCAGCCTCCTGGAGGTAGGCAGCCGTGTCCTATTTATCATAATGTTCCCTGCACCTTGTTCCGATTTTGTTCTCATTTACCTGGGGGTCTCCCATAAAAGACTGTACGTTTCTCAAGGACAAAGTCTCTGCAGCCCTCTCTCCTAAGACCTGGGAGTGTGTGGGAGGGACCGCGTGCCTCTGTGGACTCCAGGAATAGAGCAAGTTCTGTTGTTTGAAAAGGTAGAATTAGGAGTGAAAAGATTCGCCTTGGCTGGTGTGGCTCAGTGGATAGAGCATCGGTCTGGGGACTGAAGGGTCCCAGGTTCAATTCCGGTCAAGGGCACATGCCTGGGTTATGGGCTCGATGCTCAGGAAGGGGCCGGCAAAAGGCAGCCAATCAATGGTTCTCTCCCTCCCTCTCTGCAATCAATAAAAATACTTTTTTTAAAAAGAGTGAAAAAATTCTATTCCCGTTTAGAATTATTTGGTAGATTTTCTCTGCCAACGCTGCTATTATATGGGTCATTAAAACCTTAAATAATTATATTCGCCCGAGGGTCAGAAACAGCAGAGTCTTCGTTTAGAATTATTCACTGCAGAACTTCACAAGGGATTTTTCCTTGGGCTAGCTCAGGCTTGAGCACCTAGACCTGTAGATGTTCGGTGACAAATTTGGGATGAGCCTGGCTGTGTGGCTCAATGGTTGAGCACCATCCCATGCACCAAGAGGTCACTGGTTCCATTCCAGGTCAGGGCACTTGTCCAGATGCGGGCTCTATCCCCAATAGGGAGCATACAGGAAGCAGCCGATGGATTCTCTCTCATCATTAATGTTTCTCTCTCCCTTTCTCTCTACCTAAAAAATTAATACAAACATATATTCTTTAATTTGTGATGAATCTTCTGATTTTATTAAAAGCTATAGAACAACAGGGCAAAAAACTTGGGGGGAGGTGGTGGGGAGCAGAATTTCAACATCCATAACCACAGTTCCACCCTGATAGTTTTCCTTTTCTTCTTTTTCCTTTAGGAAGATGGTTTCTTTAAGGGATTTAAATATATATATATATATATATATATATATATATATATATATATATATATATATAAAATTTATTTTTTTTTATTTATTTATTTTTTTTACAGAGAGGAAGGGAGAGGGATAGAGAGTTAGAAACATCGATGAGAGAGAAACACCGATCAGCTGCCTCTTGCACACCCCCTACTGGAGATGTGCCTGCAGCCAAGGTACATGCCCTTGACCGGAATTGAACCCGGGACCCTTTAGTCCGCAGGCCGATACTCTATCTACTGAGCCAAACCTTTTAGGGCTAAGGGATTTTTTTAAAGTAAAATGATCTTAAAATAAAGTGATTAGAGAGCTACTATACTTTTTGGTGACTACATCAATGAATTCATATCTGAAATTAAAATAAGAAAATCTCCAAGAGGTTATTTCATATATTTGGCTCAGAGTTTTGTTTTTATTTTATTTTTTAATATATTTTTTATTTTTTTAAATATATTTTATTGATTTTGTACAGAGAGGAAGGGAGAGAGATAGAGAGTTAGAAACATCGATGAGAGAGAGTCATCGATCAGCTGCCTCTTGCACACCCCCTACCGGGGATATGCCCACAACCAAGGTACATGCCCTTGACCGGAATCGAACCCGGGACCTTTCAGTCGCCAAGCCGACGCTCTATCCATTGAGCCAAACCGGTCTCAGCTATTTTTTAATATATTTTTATTGATTTCGGAGAGCAAGGGAGGAGAGAGAAATATCCATGATGAGAGAGAATCATGGATCTGCTGCCTCCTGCACGCCCCCTACTGGGGATGAAGCCCGCATCCGGAGTATGTGCCCTTGACTGGAATCGAACCCGGGACCCTTCAGTCCACAGGCTGACGTTTTATCCACAGAGCCACACCAGCTGGGGCTGAGTTTTGTTTTTAAACAAACAAAAACCCACCACCTACTGTTTCTCTCATTCTCCACCCCCTCCCCCACGACCCCACCGCCCCGCATTCAATGAAGCGGAACCAGACTGTCCAGGTGCAGCTGTCACGGAAGCCGCCTGCAGACCATGCTTCTTGGGTTCCCACGCCCCTCCCAGGCTCATCCACCCGCACCCAATGCCACAGACGCGGGCCAGAGGGGCGGCCTGGCAACTTACCAAGCAGCAGCAGGGCCAGCATCCCGGAGCTGCAGGAGCCTGGCGGCCTAGGGTCGCCCAGCTGGGTCCCTGCCTGAGGGAGAGAGCGCAGGTCAGCAGGCGCCCAGGAGCGGTGCCTGGAGAACCGAGACCGGGGTCCCTCTCCCACCTCCTCCCCTCCTCCTTGATGGCCTGGCTTCCCTCTCTTCTTCACACTCACTTCTCGCAACAACCATGCTGTTGGGTTAAGATTAAGATGAACCACTGACAGCCCAGCTGGTGTGGCTCAGTGGTTGAGTGTCAACCTATGAACCAAGAGGTCACGGTTCCATTCCTGGTAGGGGGCATGCAGGAGGCAGCCGATTGATTCATCAATGTTTCTTTCTCTCATTCTCCAACATCAATAAAAACATGTTTAAAAAGAAAAAGAAACAGAAGAACCAGCCTGGCAGCATGGCTCAGTGGTTGAGCATCAACCTAGGAACCAGGAGGTCAGGGTTCGATTCCCGGTCAGGGCACAGGCCCGGGCTGCGGGATGATCCCCAGTGCGGGGCCATGATTCTCTCTCATCTTTGATGTTTCTATCTCTCTCTCCCCTCTCCCTCTCCCTTCCTCTCTCTGAAATCAATTACATATATATATATATCATATATATTTTTTAAGAAGAAGAACAACCAGTAACAACAGCCAAACAGAGCTACCTGCCTGGGTGGGTCAGAAACCCTCCATTGGGCTAAATCCCTGACAGCCACTGGGGGACTCGCTGGCCACCAGGGAGAAGACAGACAGAGGGAACCTCTGCCTTAGCGGACGGTCCTCAAGTGTCGCTTACCGGCCTGGGGGTCGGCCTGGTCCCCTCCTCCTCCGAGGCTCCCTGGGGCTCCCCCAGCCCATCCATCTCCCAGGCCGGCAGCCACGGCCGCTGAACAGCCTCCCGCAGAGATCTGGGGGGGGGGGGGGGGGAGGCGGGAGGCAGAATCGCCTGTGCAGGTTTGAGCTGGTTCTCCTTCCTCCAGATGTAATGGCAGGAAAAGCCGGTCTGGGATGAGGATTAGCCCAGATGACAGAATGTGTCCGCCGTGAGAATCACAAAAGCCAGCGGCAGATTCTGCTGACACACCAATCGGCTTTACCCCAGGCCCTGGCCCCCCATCTGCTCGGCCCCTTTAAACCCTCTGCAGACCCCCCTCCCGGCCGACCCCGGCCCCGGCCCCAAGCCCCAAGCCCCAAGCCCCAAGCCCCCAGGAACTGGCTTCCTGCCCAGCAAAAAGCCATTTCCAGCATTTTCCACGAGGAGGAGGACACGTTACATAACCGGGGGTGGGGCCGGCCAGGGCAGCGAAAGCCGGATGTTCTCCCCAATGCGGGCTGCGGGCTGCCCGTGGCCTTGCTCTGCAGTGACCGGTGCCGCCCGCCTGCCCATCAGGCTGAGACCTGGGCGGGGGGGGGGGGGGGGAGGCTGCTGGCCACCGCCCAGGCCCAGTCCATCAGGCCTCAGAGCAACCGGGGCAGCTGGTTAGGAATGGGGACTCAGCACCCACCCCTCTGGAATCAGCATCTGCATCTGCGGGGCGGTGGGGGGGTCTGTTTGTTTCTTTGTTTTCTTAATCCTCGCTTGAGGATATTTTGCCACTGATTTTTAGGGAGAGTGGAAGGGAGAGGGAGAAACAGAGCAATATGGATGGAGGGGAGAGAGAGACATCCATTGGTTGTCTCCTGAATCGAACCCTGGACCCTTTCAGTCCGCAGACATGCTCTAGCCACTGAGCAACACCGGCCAGGGCAGGAAGCATCCTTTGCAGTCTTCATCCGGCACTTCGGCGTGTGTATCCTCCCCCACCCCCACCCCCCAGCAGCCGGCCAGAGGCACCTATTCTATAGCCCTTGGCCTCGGCTCCAGGGCCGGCTGCTCCGGGTTGGGGCTCGCCCTGCGGGCCCTTCCCGCCCTTGACCTCAGACATTCCTCGGGAGCGGGGAGGGGAGCATCAGAGGCTCCCCGGGCCAGAGCGAGGGGCCGTGCCCCTGTGACTGCAGCTGGGGGGCCGCGGCCTTGGGATAAACAGTGTGGGGGGGGGGGGCGCAGGAAGGCGATCTCCTGGCCTGCCCCGAGGCGGAGCTGCAGGCAGGACCCTGTCATCCCGAGAGCTAGCAGCGCTCCCAACCCCCCGCCGCACCCCCATCCCCCCCCCCCCCCCCCCCCCGCCGCTCAGGGCCCGGGGCCGCACCCCGCTGGCTCCGCACAAAGCGTCTGGCCGCCGATCAGAAGGGGCCGCGGCAGGGAGGGGGAGGGGAGCCTGAGACAAAGGGGGCCCAGGATGCACCGCTCTGCCTGGGCAGGTGGCCTTCTAGAAAGCTCCCCCCCTCCCCCGCGGGGCGGTGGGAACCCCGCCTCTCTGATCGCTGCAGCGTGGGGGCGGGGGGGCAGTGAGCCGGGACGCCGGGGCCTCGGATGGAGTTCCTCATGGGTTCCGCAGTTCAGCGTCTCCTACGGGGCCCCTGGGGGGACTCGGCCATTAAAGCAGGCTCCTTCTTTTCTTTTTTTCTTTAATATATTTTATTGATCTCAGGGAGGAAGGGAGAGGGAGAGAGAATCATGATCAACTGCCTCCTGCACGCCCCACACTGGGGATGGAGCCCGCACCCCTGACCGGGAATCAAACCCTGACCTCCTGGTTCAAAGGTCCACGCTCAACCACTGAGCCGCACAGGCCGGGCTAAACCGGGTCCGTTCTCTTTCTCTGCTCCCAACCCCTCCGCATGCACCCGCATTGCACAGCAGGCAGAGACCAGGCCCTTCTGGGGGCCAGGGGCAAGGGCAGGGCAGGGGCAGGGCAGGGGCAGGGCAGGGGGCAGGGCAGGTGTGCCCACACCCAGGGGCCCAGGTCCGCTGAGAGGCGTTCCCTTCCCCGCCTTCGTTTACCCACAGGAGCCTGAGGCCCAGGGCAGCAGGAATGCCCGTTTGCTTAGTGGGGTGCCCCCAGCAGCAGATCCCGAGATGGGGACCCGGGTGCGCTGGCACCGGGCACACCCCTCAGTTATCTCAGCTGCGGGGAGGAGGCGGGCATTCACCCGCCAACTTCCGCCCTGGGTGCAGGCTCTCAGAGAGACAAACATGATCTCACTTACAGATAGAATATGTTTCTTAATGCTTTTTAATGATCTCAGAGAGAGGAAGGGAGAGAGAGAGAAAAATCCACGAGGAGAGAGAATCACGGATCGGCTGCCTCCTGGACGCCTCCCACTAGGGCTGGAGCCCGCAACCCCGGGAATCAAACCCTGACCTGCTGGCTCCCAGGTCAGTGCTTAACCTCTGAGCCAGAGGCAGGCGGGCAGAACGTACCTTATTTAAGACTTTGTTGGCTTGGCTTAGCGCTTTCAGACATGTTCATATGGGCTGTGGGCCCGCACACACGCAGGGCGGCCCATGTCCCGCACACAGGCCGGCGCACAGTGTTTGCTAACGGGCCCTGGGGGTAGCTGGCGGGGGGAGCGACACCTCTGGCCCTGGCCCCCCTTGTTCTCTGACATTGGGAGGGGGAGGAGGAAGAGGGCTCAGGACAGGCCCCCTCCCTCCCTGGGCTTTATCCTCCTTAAAGTAGACTCATAATCGCGTCCAACCACGTGGGGAAACTGAGGCCCACAAAGGCAGGTGAGAGGGGGAGGTGGAGCAGGGACCAGCCCTCCTGCCTCCAAGCCCTGGGGTTTCTGGGGCGCTACCGAGGCAGGGGCCCGAGGGAACCCCACCCCGTGGCCACTCCGCTGCCGGCAGGGGAAGGGGGAGGGGGGCTCCCCAGTGGCTGAAGCGCCTCCCCCCTTTGTTCTCGGTTAAACCACCCACTCCCCCTGTCCCTCCCCTTCCAGCCTCCGGGGGCGGGGCGGTTAGATCGGCCCGGGTTCGGGACCTGGTTTCCGGAACCGGGGAGGGGGCGGGGCGGGACCTGCCAGCTTTCTCTCCGGGTCCGGAGTGACGGCGCCCCAACTGCAGGCCAGGACCCTGGGGTGCGGGCGCGCGCCCCCCTCGATCCCCCGCTAATGGAGGGGCCGTGGGCAGCCAGTGACAGGGCGCACGTCCCCGCCCTCCCCGGCGGCAGCTCGGCGTGACTCAGTGGTTTTCGCCGCTTCAGGCCGCGTCCTTGCGAAACCTCTGCGGCGGCTACTGCGGCAGCCGCGGCCCCGCCCCGCCCGGAGCCGCTCCTCGCCGCGCGGCCGCCAGGGGGCGCCCAGGCCCCGAGCCGGTTCCCAGCGCCCGGCCCCGCCCCCTGCAGGCCCCGCCCTTCGCGCTCCGGGGGCGGGGCCGGGCCGGGAAAGTCCCAGGCGCGTCACCGCGGGAAACGTTAGTCACGCACCTGCAGCCGCACCGCATCCGGCTGGGAGCGGGGCCAGGGCCAGGGCCTGACTCGGCCAAGGTCACGCCCTGGGGAGGGTCTCCCGGCACCTGTCCTCCGGGCGGCCACTTGGTCCTGATGGTGGCTGCCAGCCTGGCTGGCCATCTGTAGGGAAGAGCGGGCCCAGGTCCCTTCCTGCCTTTTCACGCCACAAACACCTCCTGGGGGGCTCGCTCCGCCTCTCCCAGGAGAAGGAACCAGAGCTCCTTGAGGCAGAGGCCGCAGCGTTCAAGGTCTGGGCTCACCGCACCAGCTCAGGGGCAAGCCATCAGAGGGCGAGCACAAGTCTCAATAAGAATCCTGACTGTAATCAATTGAATCAAGTCAAATACATGTCTGTGTTCCATCCATCCTGTACATTGAGTGGCCAGATTATGATGGCCTCTGAACGCATAATAACCTGGTCACTAGTGTGTGTGTGTGTGTGTGTGTGTGTGTGTGTGTGTGTGTGTGTGTGTTAGAGGCCTGGTGCATGGATTCGTGCATGGGTGGGGTCCGGCCAGCCTGGCCAGGGGGAGGGGACATGGCAGTGAGCCCGCCTGCCTGCTGGTCGAACTCCTGGACGAGGGGACCATTTGTATATTAGCCTTTTATTTTATAGGACAGACACGGAGTAGCCAGATTGTTATGTGTTCAGAGATCATCCTCATCTGGCCGC